TAAGGGCATTCCTGTAGGTGTTGTAGGTACTGACAAGCACACCGGTATCAAGGCACTCATGAGAAGCGAGTACAAAGACCTCGGGGTTGAGCATCGGGTAGACGTGTGGCATTTGACTAAGAACAGCACGGAAGCCAAGAAGAAAGAATGCAAGGACCTCTCTCCTTGGATAAAATCCGTGACAAACCATATGCGGTGGTCTGCGATGACGTGTGACGGAAGTCCCCAGCTTCTCAAAGAGAAGTGGGTCAGCATCCTCCACCACACGGCTGACAAACACGATTGGGATTCGTCTGTGCTGTACAATTGTTGTGCACATGATCCCATTTCCCCAAGGGCACATCGTAAAACAAAATGGCTGATTGTAGGTTCCCCGGCACACGAAGCGTTAAAACATGTAATGCTATAGAAGACACTCCTATAGGATTTGGACCTTCGAACGAAGATCATCCATACAGGAGCCTTGGAAGTGTACCAGTTCACTCTACAACAAATACGCGCCCAAGCCGTATTGGATAGCTGGGAATAGTAGCACGCACACAGCTAACTGCTTTAGACCACAATTCGGGCACTGGTCGATCTCAAGCAGAGGCTTCGAGGGGGGAGAAACGATTCCGTTATGTTTATCCTAGGGGGATGAAGGATTGGGTTGTGAGGCCTGTTTTCGAAGAGAAGACCAAGCCGCACGTTACGGAAATGCTATGCATGAGACAAAGGAGAAGAGCCAGAGCAAGTTCAAGTCCCTGATCTCCCAAAAGACATCGCACCCATTCCACTCCCACGTAAAGGGGACCTTCTCGCACGGCATGTATCCAGATTTGGAAAAAATTAAGCAAGTGAAAAAATGCTACCAGCCCAAAATGCCACTAGCATTTACAGTGTTAGTTTTCTATTTTTGGAACAGACTGTTAAAGATATTTTAATGATTGGAACTGGAGCCGATACCCCTATAGCGCCATAGATAGACTATGGACCTCCTTGAATATTTAATAAAAACAAAGACAAGTTTATTGATTAAACATGACTATCCTGGCCATGAGTCATTGTCCTCAGCATCTTTAAAGCCTGTATAATTTCCGGCTACATCTGGGTAATAACTTCTTATTGATGCCACAACACACGAAGGAATCACGCGTCTGTTCCCTTTACCAAGTCTGTTATAAGTCCACCATGTAAAAGTATAAGTAAACTGTCTCTAACCTGCCAATCGCATACTACTGGGAAAAAGCAAAATTAATTGATACATGCTCGGAACTGAACAAACCAATCTCTTGGAGCAAACCCTTTCTTTGTATTCAAAATTATATCCTATTGTGACCGATCCAAGTCCAAACATGCTAAAAAAAGGTTGAAGGTTAAAGTTTCTTCTTTAACAATCAACTATTCTCTTCAACAATCAATGAAGCCTTCGTTCGAATATTCAAGTTTTGCCGGGCATATCGCTTAAATGTTGCATATGATTTAAAAGAAAGACTCGAATGTTGAAAATAAACCTGGAATTTTGGCGAAGATTTAATCACATACATTACTACTCATATTAGAACAACTTACCAGATGAACTTTTAAATGGAGGAATGACTTGTGCACTTTTCTTTCATTTATAACCGCAGATCATTTCTAAGCGGAGTGCAGAATTGGAGACATAACTAGAAAAGAGTACAATAGTTTACCCGATAGGGAGAAGGTTGGTGGGGAATCCACCCAGGGGAGTCCGGGGTGAGAAAATTGCTCGATGTATGGCCTCACATGGAAACATTACCATCCTAAATGGGTTGGGTTGCTTCACTGTGTCTGGGCTACAATGAATGATTTTGCGTGACTCTGTCCAAATTAACAGGGCTAAGCTCGCAAGTGAAAGTAATACAGTCCCAAGTCAGAGGTTTCGTATGTGTCTCATTTTCGTTGAAAACACTATCATTTATTTTTGCTCTTCTGATTCTTTTCAAAATTCTAATAAATTATGTAAGAATCTTTTGGGTCTTTAAGCCCTTGTACTTAACAGAGCCGTGAAAGAGAAGGCCTATTATCGTTCTACTCAGGTAGGGTACTAAAGATTATTTCTCCCCTGAGCTTGGATCAGGGATCCAAGATTTCATCAGCAACTTTATGACTGAGGATCTATCAGGTAAAACCGAAAACTTTTCGGAAGTGGGACAGTGCTGAAGGTTCACTATTTCCTTTGTTTGTCAGATAAGTTGCAGGGGTAAATTTCATTTCTGACGTAATAGCAAAGCAGGAGGAAAATATAAATATTAAAAAAGTTAGAAAAGGAAAACTGATGAGAACTGTTTTAAGACATGCTCAGAACAATCACAGAACATAAAAATTTCTGCCAATATCGATGTAATCCCAGATAAACATGATCACTACTGAAAATTATTTAATTGGATATCGCTAAAGTTGCAAAGAAATTTTGTCAGTTTCAAGCTTTCGATCGTAAAACAAATATGGCGATGCACGAAAATGAACAAAACGTATTTTTCTCTCCTTTTTTTTATTAAACCCATAACTTTGTGTCAAACCCATTCAAATATCAAAGCACATTACATTGCTTTCTATTTCGTTTCACTCGACTATGTAGAGAAGCTGATAAACAATAGTTGATGTAGTGTATTCCTTGTTTGTGTATGTTTCTAGCTTAAAAGTCCACTGGCCTGATCTTCATTTCAGCTCTCTTAGCGGAGTATTTAGGACCCTTCCATGTATTTCAGTTGATACCACGCCAAGGGACCGAATTATGCAGACCGTGGTAATGGTAATCGTTTAAGTTGGCTCTAACACACGTATTGTACACCAAGCACTATTATATTTTGCGGCACAGTTGCTCGAGTAATCATCATTGTCACGATCTTTGGTGGAGAATGCCATGTTTCTATGATAGCTCAAAGAATCACCTGCAGTTCCTGAGACGGAATCACAGTATAATTAGCAAAGGAAGGCTATAGAAATTGCAGTGGATAGAAATTTATCCTTTCGGCATTTTTGTTAAATGATAAAATTACAATTATAGTTAATCTACAATATTGGTGTCTGAAAAAAGGAATGGAAATATTATATTATTTTAAGTCATTTAATGCAAATTATAAAAAAGGGCAGGTTGATTACTTCTTACTCCTTCTTGGTGGTCTTATCTTAAAGGTTGAGTTTGGTCACGTTCTTCTTGTGGGTTTGGCCACGTTCTACTGGTGAGTTTAATCACGTTTTCCTCGTTGTGATCGTGAGGTTGACATGGAACTCGTGATAAGCCATGTTCTTAATTGAGTTAATTTGTTAGTCCAGGAAGAGTAAATCTCCCTGGTAATAGGTCGCGTTCGACACCTTCGTGTCCCCAGAGGTAATTTAAGGTGTAAACAGGTGATACCCTTCATGTTTCGCAACCAAAAGCAATTTGGGGGCGGTACTTGTGAGCGCCTTTCTTCTTTAACTCTTGTGACCAAGATGTTGTTATGTAACAATCTTTAAAGGTGATTTTCTCTTAAGATACCCTTTCAGGTATAAATAATACTCTGAACCAAGGTTATTTGTAATTTTTATATTATCGATCTCGTTTCTGTTCTGGCCGATCTCAACCGTAAAGATACGAAAATTAAGGTAGAAATTGATTTTGTAACTGCGTAAAAAACTCGAAGGTGCATACTCAGTATGTGGGAACTGTAATACGTAGTCAAGCGTGATTCGCTAGTTGATATGGTACGATGACGACACAAGAAGATTGACGGCTTAGAAATGTCATCCGCAGTGTCACCTTTATAAGCGGAGACTCTAGTTTTCCCTGTCAGATAGAAGCTAGTCCCCGTTGTATCAATTTGTGAAGAAAGAGAATAAACCTAACAAACGACGAGTGTTAGAAAATTTACTTCTAACATTTTCCAGTCTCTGATGATGAGATGAATTGAGGTTCAGAATCGCTCGAATTTGGTTGTATCTTTAAGAACTGTTCTGGCTAAAATAGACCAATCCACAGATTGAAAGCACTCACCTGTATATATCCCAAGGCGAAGTCTGTATTTGTTTCTTTCGCTGGAAACAGAGAACATATCATATTCAGCGTAAGCGGTCTTTCCTCGTGTGTCTTCGAGCTCCACTCGCAGTCTACTCTTTGTTTTAATCAGGCGGTGCATCTTGTCCAGTCCGAGCCAAAACTTACGTTTAAGTTTCCGAAGCCGCGTTTGAAGTCCGCCCAGCCGCGATTGACGAAATCAACGGTGCCATCGAGTCTCTTCTGGAATACTGTCCAACCCCCACCCACAGATGTTTGGTCGCAAAACACATCAAACGCAGCTAAACCATCGGGGTCGATTGTGTAAAAACTGAGATTCTTTTGCCGTATTCGTAAAGCTCAGCACAGTTTTTCATAGCTTTTGAGAGACATCAACAACTATAGTTAGAATGATATATTTCAGCATGGATGAGTTGAAAGACGTATATGCAAAATTAACAGAAACTCACCTGGCGGAGTTGTTTTGTTCTCCGTCAAAGCATCGATTTTCTTCTCTAATTCTGCGAGTTGATTCTCTATTTTGAGAAGATGTACCTTGATTTTCTTATTTGTTGGTCCAGAATAATAATTTTTGAAGTGAACGTTGTGGCACTTGCTTGATGTCGAAGTATCGGGAGTATTTTTCGCTGTGTTGCTTTGACCCCTTCCTGTTTGAAAACTTAAGCTACAATAGAGCAGACAAAATGAAATCTTGACAAAAATCATTATCGACCAGGAAAGTACACTCTGAAGCTGCTATCGTAAAATCATACGCTCCAGTACCGGATAATCTGATTTATACGCTTTCTTTTGTGGCGACGTCGGTTTACAAGGAACAAGATACTTTGTGTTTGGGTGACTGCGATAGTCAACTATATCCGCTGTTGCTTAAGGGTTAGTGGGTTAATTCCAGTTGGGCAAAATTACATAAGAATGATGGCTTTGTGTTTCATTCACTCCAAAATATTTGCTCCTTCAAATGCTTTGCTACTACAAAATTTCCCCAGTTTTCGTGTATGAAATCAGTTCTAATACGCGGCAATTCTATGATCTCATGTTCGCAAAAGGAGTTAAAATTGTACAAAACAATTCACTACGCAGCTGCTATCTTAAAATCAAATTCTCCAAGATTAGAATCTGATTAATACGCTTTTGTGACTGCGTCATTTTACAAGGAAGCAGATTTTTCGCGTAACTTGGGCGACTACTGGAGTCAAGCACATCCCCTTTAGCTGAACGCTTTATACCCTAACATCAATATGCATGTTCTCCATATTGGTCTGTTCATTGCTTAAAGTGCTGAAAAGGAGAATTTGTCTCACAATCAAGAGCTTCTTTAGTTGGTGATCATTTCCTTCAATCTTGTGACCTTGTGTGCTTCAGGGTGATATTGTATGGAGAGTTAATTAGATGTTAGCCACTCTCAGGCCGGTTAAAGGATTTAAGGTAAGTGGGTTTATTTCTGGTTGAGTGAACTTATTCAAAGTATTAGTTTTATACTTCGCTCACTTCAAAATGTTTGATCCTTTAATGTTTTGCTTCTATACCTTTTCATCAGATTTGTGAATAACTGCAGTTTGATGCGCGGTGATGTCGACGTCACGCTGTCATGTTCGCAAAAGAAGTTGAACTGTTACAAGACTACTGTGAGAAGCGAGAGCATCTGTTTGTCTGTTTGTCTGAAAACCTACGACAAAATCCGCACCATTTGTCTATCTTCTTATAGAACCTATAATACTCGCTAACTTGTTAGAAGTGATGTCCTAACACTCGTTGTTCAGTTAACTGTTTCTTTATTCTCTCTTTTATTACGCAAGTTATTACAACGGGGACTAGGTCTGATCTCTCTAGGAAAGTGTGGGTCACCGCTTGTAAAGGTGACACTTACGGAGCTGTCAATCTCTAACCTTCGCCATGCTTCTACACTTAACTAGCGAATCACCCCAAACTACGCAGAGCGGAGTTCGCATACTAAGTAGATACCTTTGCGATGTTTACGCTTTACAAAATGTCTTTCTAATTTAAATCTCTTGGACTTACGGTCAAGTTCGGCCAAAAAAAAACAAAATTGACAATATAAAAATTATAATAAACTTACTAATAGATTTAAAATCATACTTGAAAAGATATCTTAAGAGAAATTAGTCCTTGAAGACTGTTGCATAACAGCAGAATAAACTCAAAATTCGGAGAAGAAAGCGCGTACCTAAGGTAACGCCCCTAAAAGAGCTACGTGCTAGCCTCATAAGTTATCTAATTACAAGTTCTGTGTGGAAGATGAAAAGTACTACTGTTTACACCTTAAGTCACCTCTAAGAAAAAGAGGTGTCGAACGTGCTAAATTAAAAGTTAAAAACTATATTCCGGATCGGGAATTCGACATGGATTTAGCCTAAAAACGAGAGTATTAAATGGGTAAAAGTATAAAGGAGAGTTATTTTCAGGAAATTCCTGTACGGGATCAATTTTATAAGGTAGAGTCATTTTAGTAATTAATCATCTTTTAGTAACAAAATGGAAATAAACCGATATCTAGCCGCAAACCGCAGTTTACGCAAAAACATTTGTCTCCATGTCAAATTCACGATCATAGTAAGGAAAAGGCAACCAAACTCCATCTGTAAGGTAAGACCGTCAAAAAGAATAAGAAACGATCAACTGGCTTATTACAATGTTTACTGAGTAGCTTATGCTATATTATTTCCATTTATTTTCAAGTTCAAATAAGTTAAAAATCACCCGTAATGAAAATTCTTGCTAGATACCAACTTTGTCTTTTTTAACAATACTCGTTAGTTTGGAGTAACTTATATGTTTTCTATAAAAGAATGCACAATTAAGAAAGGTCTAGAATGTATAGGGAGGTGAAGCGTTTTAAAAAAGGCAAGTACTATTTTATACCATTACGAGAGGTACCAAGCCTCCTTTCAGCTCCCTCTCGACTTATGCATTCATCATGCTTGCGGCATACCTAATGCCGGCTTAGGTTGAACACAGGACTTAATGAGTCACTAATAGACCACTTGAAGAAGTACGAGGGGTTTTTAGAGAGCTAAACTGCCTGTTCAAGACGAAAGAAACAAAACTCGTGAAATATTTTAGTTTTCTAGTGTCAAGAGATTATCTTCTCTTGTGTATTCTCTTGCCAGATTCTAAAGATCGTATCTTGTCATATTTCCTTTTCACTGTAAGACCTAATATAAGTTGAACTGTTCTGATCTTCTCAACAGGACAGAAATATTGCTAGAATTTTTCATACGTGAGGTGTTGGAGTTTCCTTGGGGATTTGTTGCGAAATAAATTAGCGATTTTAGGTGCGAGTTCGTAATGGTAGTGTGCGTAAAAAATGTCTGCTACGCCGCAAGTTACACAAATGCAACAACACGTGCAGTTCAAACCAACATTTTCTACCGCTTGTACAATAGAACAGGCTGAAGTAGTGATTATTTCTGGCATATTATTAAATAGGTTGAGTCGCTTCACTATGTCTGGGCTACAATTAATTTTGCGTAACTCCGTCCAAATTAACAGGGCTACGCTCGCAAGTTAAAGTAATATAGCCCAAGTCAGAGGTTTTGTATGTACCGTATTTTCGTTGAAAACATTATTATTTTTTTCGCTCCTCTGATTCTTTCAAAATTCTAATAAATCATACAAGAAAATCCCTCGGGTCTTCTTGTATTTAACAGAGCCGTGAAAGAAAAGGCCTATTATCGTCCTACTCGGGCAAGGTAATTAAAGATTATTTTTTTCCTGAGCTTGGATCAGGGATCAAGGATATCACCGGCAACTCTATGACTGAAGATCTATCAGGTAAAACTGAAAACTTTTCGGGAGGGGGACGGTGGTGAAGGATTCACCATTTCCCTTGGTCACGTCAGATAAGTTACAGGGGTAAAATTCATGTCTGACGAGATAGCAAAAGTAAAAGGACGATATAAACATTAAAAAAAAGTAAGAAAAGAAAAACTGCCGAGAACTCTTTGTTCCAGATCAATCACAGAAAATAGAGATTTCTGCCAAAATCGATTTAATCCCAGATAAATATGATCACTACTGACATTTAATTGGATATCGCTAAAGTTGCAAATAAATTTTTGTCAGTTTCAAGCTTTCGATCGCAAAACAAATAGTGATACACGAAAATGAACTAAACGTATTTCTCTCTCTTTTTTTTTTATTAAACCCATAACTTTGTGTCAGACCCATTCAAATATTAAAGCATATTACGTTGCTTTTTATTCCGTGTTTCTCAACTATGTAGAGAAGCCGATAAACTATAGCTCATGTAGTGTATTCCTTGTTTGTGTATGTTTCTAGCTTAAAAGTCCACGGGCCTGATCTTCATTTCAGCTCTCTTAGCGGAGTAACTATGACCCTTCCATGTATTCCAGTTGATACCACGATAGAGAGACTTGACGTGTGAACCGTGGTAGTTGCCGTTCAAGTTGGCACGGACACAGCTGTTGTTCCACCAAGCACTTTTATAGAATGCGGCGCAGTTGAACGAGTCAGCATTGTCATTGTCGCGATCTTTAGTGGAGAATGCCATGTTTCGATGATAGCTCAAAGAATCACCAGCAGTTCCAGCTGAGACGGAATCACATATTATTAGCAAAGGAAGGCTATAGAAATTGCAGTGGATAGAAATTGATCCTTTCAGTATTTTTCGTTCTCTGATGATAGGATGAGACGGAATCACATGTAATTAGCAAAGGGAGGCTATAGGATCAAAACTTGCTGGAAGGAATTTGGGAATTATCAAAAAGTAAAAAATTGTAGTGGATAGAAATTGATTCTTTCGCGGCGTTTTTCATGATCAGTCTCTGATGGGTAAAATGAATTGAGGTAGACCCATGCAGAATCGCTCGAATTCGGTTGTCTTTTAGAACAATTCTGTCTAAAACAGACCAATCCACAGATTATAAGCACTCACCGGTATATATCCCAAGGCCAAGTCTGTATTTGTTTCTTTCGTTGGAAACAGAGAACATATCATATTCAGCGTAGGCTGTATTTCCTTGTGTGTCTTCAAGCTCCACTCGCAGTCTACTCTTTGTTTTGGTCAGGCGGTGTATCTTGTCCAGTCCGAGCCAAAACTCACCATTTACGTTTCCGAATCCACGTTTGTAATCCACCCAGCTGCGATTAACGAAATCAACGGAGCCATCGAATCTCTTCTGGAACACTGTCCAGCCCCCCCTGGAAGATTTTTGGTCGCAAAATACCTCAAACGCACCTAAACCATCCGGGTCGATTGTGTGAACTCCTGTGATTCTCTGGCCGTATTTGTACAGCTCAGCACAGTTTTTCATAGCTGCCGAGAGAAATCGAACAATTATAGCTAGTATGATATATTTCAGCATAGATGAGTCGTAAGACGTACATACGAAATTGACAGAAACTCACCTGGCAGAGTTGTTTTGTTCTCTGTCAAAGCATCGATTTTCTTCTCTAAATCTGCGAGTTGATTCTCACAGTTTTTCATAGCTGCCGAGAGAAATCGAACAATTATGGCTAGTATGATATATTTCAGCATAGATGAGTCGTAAGACGTACATACGAAATTGACAGAAACTCACCTGGCAGAGTTGTTTTGTTCTCTGTCAAAGCATCGATTTTCTTCTCTAAATCTGCGAGTTGATTCTCACAGTTTTTCATAGCTGCCGAGAGAAATCGAACAATTATGGCTAGTATGATATATTTCAGCATAGATGAGTCGTAAGACGTACATACGAAATTGACAGAAACTCACCTGGCAGAGTTGTTTTGTTCTCTGTCAAAGCATCGATTTTCTTCTCTAAATCTGCGAGTTGATTCTCTATTTTGAGAAGATGTACCTTTATGTCGTTATTTGCTGGTCCAGAATAATAATTGTTGAAGTGAACGTTGTGGCACTTGCTTGATGTCGAAGTATCGGGAGTGTTTTTTTCACCGCTTGCTGTTTGAAAACTTAAGCTGCAAAGAAGCAGACAAAATAAAATCTTGACAAAAACCATTATCGACTTGGAAAGGGCACTCTGAAGGAGCTATTGTAAAATCATACGCTCCAATACCGAAGAATCTGATTTATACGCTTTCTTTTGAGATGACGTCGAAGTTCACATGTGACACGCATCCTGCATACTGCTAGGATCAGCAGATGTCCGAAGGTCTAAGGTTAGATTCCTCATGGGGACTCAGAATTTTTTTTGTCCCACGCTCGTCACAAGACGAAAAACATCTTTCCCTATTTCTCTATCGAGTTTAAAACTCACCATCTTTCTTATGATTCTATCCACAAAACATGACGCTATCGACATCGCTGATCCCAGCGGTATGCAGGACACGTGTCATACATTAACTTCGTAATAGAGTCTCAGTGGCTCAGTGGTAGAGCAGCGCGGAGTCGGAAGGTCTGAGGTTCGATTGCTTATGGGGGCTCAGAATTTTTTTCTTTGTTCCACGGTCGTGACAAGACGAAAAACAACTTTCTCTATTTCTTCACCGAGCTTAAAACTCATGCACCATCTTTCTTATTCTATCTTTATGAAATACTTTGTGTTTGGGTGACTGCCATAGTCAAGTATATCCTCCTAAGTGTAAGTGGGTAATTCCAGTTGGTTTATTTAAGAATGTTGGTTTTGTATTTTACTGACTTCAAATTTATTGCTCCTTCAAATGCCTTGCTACTAAAAAATTTTCTCAACTTTCGTACATGAATTTAGTCGGCAATTCCATGGCGTGATGTTCGCAAAAGGAGTTGAAATCTTACAGAACATAAGCTCCAAGATTAGAATCTGATTAATTTTGTGACTACGTTAGTTTACAAGGAAGCAGATTTCCGCACAACTTGAGCGACTTTCATAGACAAGCATATCCACTTCTGCCAAACCTTCTATATCCCAACATCAGTATGCGTATTCTCCATACTGTTCTCTGTACATTTCCTAAGGTTCTGAAAGGGAGAATTTGTTTAACAATCAAGAGCTTCTTTATTTGGTGATCATCGCCTTTATTCTTGTGACTTTAATGTGTGATTTAGAGATGATATTGTGAGGCCGGAGAAATTATGTGTTAGTCACTCTCAGGCCGGTTAAAGGTCTAAGGTAAGTAGGCTTATTTCTGGTTGAGTGAACTTAATCAAAATGTTAGTTTTGTACTTCGGTCACTTCAATATGGTCGATCCTTCAATGTTTTGCCACTCTAATTTTCACCCGATTGGTTAATACATACACTAGTTTACATGCGTGGCAATGTCATGTCGTTATGTTCGCAAAAGAAACTCTTTCAAAACTTAATGAATCACTAACAGACTGCTTGAAGAACTACGAGGGGTTTGTAGAGAGCTGAATTGCCTGTTTAAGACAAAAAAAACTCGTAAAATATTTTAGTTTTCCATTATCAAGAAATTTTCTTCTCCTATATGTTCTCATGCCAGTATCTGAGGATCGTATCTTCTCATATTTCCTTTTCACTGTGAGACATAATAGGTGTTGACCTGTTCTGATCTTCTCAAAAGGATCGCTAGAGTTTTTAAAACGTGAGGTGTTGGAGTTTCCTTGGGGATTTGTAATGGTAACAGGACCGGTAATAGTCCAATTCGGTCTGTAATCATATGAGTGATTAACGAAATCGGATGACCGCGAAGCGGGAGTTAATCACCAGTATGTTAATGTGTGTTAATCACGAGTATGATTATATACAGAATTGGACGACAAGAAATCCTCTTACCAATTAATCATAACCATTTCAGTTTCCGAAAAATAAATACACCTAGAACAAATATCTCCAGTGGAGACAATGTCTTAAGTTAAAAATTACGTTGATAACTCCATGTAATAAAGCAAAAAATTTCGGCCCTTGCACCACATTCACGATATCTGAGCAAAAGTCAATAGCATGATACTTGTTGGGATCAGAAGCAAACCTGGCAAAAGAGGCTTGATATTCTCCTCACTAGTTTTCCACGTCTCCACTTGAGACGCCAGGAAAGACAATGTTGATTTGGCGACAAAACAAGAAGAAAAAAAAAACGAACGGCTTGCATTTTTAGACCCGAGCGTTCCTAGGGAAGTTCGAGTTAAAACTAAACGGCAATAGAGGTCAAGAACTTCAAACTTCAGTCAGAGTAGCTCTTTGCTATGCCGTTTTAAAAATATCGGCCAAAATTCCAGGGGCTTTTTTAAACAATCAAGAGTTTTGTTATGTTTATTATTTAGATATGAACTTTAAGTAGAAACCAATCTCTTGGAGCAAACCCTTTCTTTGCATTCAAAATCATATCCTATTGTGACCAATCGAATTTAAAACATGCAAAAAAAAAAGATTCAAAGTTGAAGTTTCTTCTTTAACAATCAAGCACTCTCTTAAGCAATCAAGTCTTTGCATCAACAATGAAGCCTTCGTTCGAATATTCAAGTTTTGCCGGGCATTTCGCTTGAATGTCGCATATGGTTTAAAAGAATAACTTGAATTTTAAAAATAAATCTTGAATTTTTAGCGGAGATTTAACTTAACAAGCTTCACACTATCTTAAGAATAATAATGGTATTTACCTTAATTTACAAGCCGTTTATCTTTAACGTCCTTTTTCAAATTTCCAAATCATTCGCTCGAGAAGGAAAATAGTTTACATCTTTTACCTCTTAAGTGGCAAAACTGAAAGAAATGAAGTGTCCAAGCGAAAGCACTGAAAGTTTAACATCGCGATTAAAGGCATTTATTTCTTCTTCTTCTTCTTCCGTTGTAGCTTCTTCGTCTTGTTTGTTTGAACCTTTTGGTTGCCATTTTCTGGGCCGTGTTCACAGGATTTTCTAGCTTTCTCTCGTTGTCGCGAGCGAAAAAGGTTTTTTTATGTCTCTCCAAGAATTTGTAGTTCATTTCAAAACGGGGAAGAACCTCTGGCTCACTTTGAAAAACGCTTTTGCTTGTTTTTGGCTTTTCAAAAAGTGACAATGGTTTTAAAAACACTTTAAAATGACATCGTAGAAAACTTTGTTACAAATTGACGATACTTATTACCGTACATGCGAAACAATATCACTGAGCCTCGTTTTCAACTCGCAATTCCACGCTAAATACTTCGCTTCGTTGCCCAATCAGAATGCGAGATTTTATTCAAATATGCGATTGTTTTCAAAATTCTGATAAATCATATAAGAAAATATGTTGGGTCTTTAAGCTCTTGTATTTAACAGAGCCGTGAAAGAGAAGGCCTATTATCGTCCTACTCAGGTAAGGTACTAAAGATTATTTTTCCCCTGAGCTTGAATTAGGGATCTAAGATCTCACCGGCAACTCTATGACTGAGGACCTATCAGGTATTTCTGAAAACTTTTCGGGAGGGGTACGATGGTAAAGGATTCACCATTTCCCTTGATTATGTCAGTTATGTTAAGTTACAGGGATAAATTTCATGTCTAACCTAATAGCAAAGCAGAAGGAAAATATATAAATATTAAAACAGTAAGAAACGAAAAACTGTCGAAAACTCTTGTAAGACACATGTTCCAGAACAATCACAGAGCATAGAAATTTCAGCCGAAATCGATGTAATTCCAGATAAACATGATCACTACTGACATTTGATCGGATATCGCTAAAGTTGCAAAGAAATTTTGTCAGTTTCAAGCTTTCGATCGTAAAACAAATAGTGATACATGATGAACTAAACGTATTTCTCTACCTTTTTTTTATTAAACCCATAACTATGTGTCAGACTCATTCAAATATCAAAGCACATTACATTGCTTTTTATTCCGTGTCACTCAACTATGTAGAGAAGCTGTTAAACTATAGCTGATGTAGTGTATTCCTTGTTTGTGAATGTTTCTAGCTTAAAAGTCCACGGGCCTGATCTTCATTTCAGCTCTCTTAGCGGAGTAATCAGAACCTTTCCATTTACCCCAGTTGATACCACGATAATGGGACTTGGCGTGCGAACCGTGGTAATAGTAACCGTTTAAGTTGGCACGGAGACAGCTATTGTTCCACCAAGCACTTTTATAGGATGCAGCGCAGTTGAACGAGTTCGCATTGTCATTGTCGCGATCTTTAGTGGAGAATGCCATGTTTCGATGATAACTCAAAGAATCACCAGCAGTTCCTGAGACGGAATCACATATTATTAGCAAAGGAAGGCTATAGAAATTGCAGTGGATAGAAATTGATCCTTTCAGTATTTTTCATTCTCTGATGATAGGATGAGACGGAATCACGAATAATTGGCAAAGGAAGGCTATTGGATCAAAACTTGTTGGAAGGAATTTAAGAACGATCAGAAAGTAAAAAATTGTAGTGGATAGAAATTGATTCTTTCACGGCGTTTTTCAGTCTCTGATGGGTAAAATGAATTGAGGTAGACCCATGCAGAATCGCTCGAATTCGGTTGCGCCTTTTAGAACAATTCTGTCTAAAATAGACCAATCCACAGATTATGAGCACTCACCGATATATATCCCAAGGCCAAGTCCGTATTTGTTTCTTTCGCTGGAAACAGAGAACATGTCATATTCAGCGTAAGCTGTATTTCCTTGTGTGTCTTCAAGCTCCATTCGCAGTCTACTCTTTGTTTTCGTCAGGCGGTGTATCTTGTCCAGTCGGAGCCAAACCTCACCATTTAAGTTTCCGAATCCACGTTTGTAATCCGCCCAGCCGCGATTGACGAAATCAACGGAGCCATCGAGTCTCTTCTGGAACACTGTCCAGCCCCCACTAGAAGATTTTTGGTCGCAAAACACCTCAAACGCACCTAAGCCATCGGGGTCGATTGTGTGAACTCCTGTGATTCTTTGGCCGGATTTGAACAGCTCAGCACAGTTTTTCATGGCTGCGGAGAGACATCGAACAATCATAGTTAGCATGATATATTTCAGTGTGGATGAGTCGTAAGACGTACATACAAAATTGACAGAAACTCACCTGGCAGAGTTGTTTTGTTCTCCGTTAAAGCATCGATTTTCTTCTCTAAATTTACGAGTTGATTCTCTATTTTGAGAAGATGTACCTTGATGTCCTTATTTGCTGGTCCAGAATAGTAATTGTTGAAGTGAACGTTGTGGCACTTGCTTGATGTCGAAGTATCGGGAGTTTTGTTGGATGTGACTTGTTTAGATGTGCTGTTTACCCCGCTCATAGTTTGAAACATCGAGTTGCAACAGAGCAGGAAAAATATGATGTTGAAAAAATTCATCCTCGACCGAGAAAACTCACTTCCCGGCTATTCAGTGTCGCAATGTAATTTTCTCAACGTATAGAAAATCTTATTAATACGCTGTTCTGACCACGTCAGTATACAAGCAGGTAGATTTTTCGTGTTTGGGTGACTGTCATAGACAAGCACTGTTTTTGTTTCGTCTGTCATACCAACTAACATTTTATTTGAAAATGTTAGTTTTGTATTTTGCTCACTTCAAAATGTTCGCTCCCTAAATTTCCTATTTCCTCATGCGCTTAATGAGATGCAACTACAGGTCTGTTTGTTTGAAAAACCACAAACGCCGGGATAAATCGTCATAGTTTCTTTACCTTCTAATGGATCCTATAAACAATAAACATAATAGTATGGTCTAGAATGTATGGTGAAGTGTAGCATTAACAAACAGGGCAAAAAATATTTAAAAAGTGCAGTGTCTTACGCTAGCAAACCTCCTTCCCATTCCCTCTCGACTTGTGCATTCGTCACGCCAAGGCAACTTTTGGTTTTGGTTGAACACAAGATTCATCGATGCAGAGAGCTGGCTTGCCTGTCAGGATGAGTTAGACGCTATTGAAGCGATAACCCGAGTTTCCTTAGAGATTTGTTGTCAAAAGGTCTGGAGAGCAGCAGATATGTCACGAATTTAAGAAAAGAAACGACATCTTTTAAAAAACATGCTTTCCAGCTCAGTAGACACTACTTGGGTAAATGAACGATTGATTAAATAGACGACTGATGTTTCGACAGTTCTTCTGCCAGCAGACAAAGTAAAAAGTTGAATTTAAAGTATATCAAAATGCTCCTTGAACAAAACAAACAATAGAAACAAAATAATGTATGCAATTATAAGGAAAGTTTTAAATTAACATGATAGAAATGATGCTAAAGCGTAGGTTGCTCCCATTGAATGTGAATAACTTCTTTAATTTTAAGTTGGAGAGTTGTGGGAGCGTGATCTAAGATGCCAAATACTCATCAGGACATAGGTTGCGACATTGTCGAGAATTTTGTAAATGTCTGAAAATGTGAGAGGTCCTATCAGATTACTTCTGACATATCAAAACAACTATTACTGAGGGTATGAGGGAGGTGCGGTTGTGAAACAATTTTAAACTTTCTAAAACTGGTTACAAATCTTTCACAGTAATTACCGGATTGATACAATCGCATGATGATATGTCTTAAGGGTAAAATCAAATGAAATGTTTAAAACCTCACTGAAAACATGGTAAACTAGCTGCCAAATATGTGTGACATACACCCATGTGGCAGCCACGTAGATACGCGAAAATCAACTTCAGAAACAAGTATTTAAATCGTACTAACGTACCTTAGTGATCCACTATAGCTGCACAAGGAAGTGACGGTTTCTTTTTAAACCGTCTACAACATGTAGTCGTTTACTTCTTAAAAATTTCTGAACTTGGAAGGAAAGATTAAGTAGATAAACACAACATGGGTTTGTTCACTTTCTTTTTTTCCTGATAAAATAAAGATGTTAGTCTTTTAGAAGTGGGCGTGAAAATTCTGGTCAGACCAGACAACAGGCTTATGTTAAATTTGTTATTACACATCATTTACGCTCTATAATATGTTGCCCTACAATTCATTGATGGTTTTAGACCTGACTATATATATTTGGTGGGGATTGATCACTGCTCAGAGTGCTAAATATCAAACTAGCAGGGCGCGTTCTTTAAAAAGCTCTTATTTAAAATATACAATATCAGCACAATTAACTCTCAGGAGAAATATATTTTTATATCAAGTCTTTGATGTGAGAGTGGTCAGGAATTGCTGAAATTGTTGTCAACACATGTTTTGATGTTGTTTTTTAAGGTTTGGTACTTTTCATTAGTCTAGGTTTCTTCAATTTGTGACGCGACGTTTCTTGATTCGCCTGAAATTTTGCGCTTTAAAAGCGGCGTTTTGGCGAAATTCAGTTATTATCGATTTACTACGCGGTATGCATTGGTTTCGGTTTCTCTCCAAGACCTACCTAACTATGAAATATGGGCGAAATTGAATTTTCATCTGTTGCTACCAAATGTTTGACTACTGGCAACATTCGCCCGTAAGACTTTAAAGCCCTTTTCTCTCCGATAAACAATCAATCTTTAACAATCAACTATTTTCTTCAACAATCAAGTCTTTGAATATTCAAGTTTTGCCGGGCATATCACATGCAGGTTGCATATGGTTTAAAAGGAAAACTTGAATGTTGAAAATAAACCTTGAATTTTGATTATCCGACCTACTTCTAGCTAGTTTCCTTGGGGATCTGTTGTCAAAAGGTCTGGATAGCAGCAGATATGTCACGAAGTTAAGAAAAGAAACGACATTTTTTAAAAAACACGCTTTCCAGCTCACTACACGCTACGTGGGTAAATAAACGATTGATGTTTCGACAGTTCTTCTGTCATCTTCAGTTCTGATTTATACAAAGTACAAAGTTGAATTTAAAGTGTGTAACAAAATGCTCATTGGCTCCTGTCATTGAACAAAACAAACAATAGAAACAGAACAATGTGTGCAATTACAAGGAAAGTTTTAAATAAAACATGATAAAGTTGATGATTACTTGTAGGTTTCTCCCATTGAATGTGAATGACTTCTTTGATTTTAAGCTGGAGAGTTGTGGGAGCGTGATCTAAGATGCCAAATACTCATCAGAACATAGATTGCTACATTGTTGAGAATTTTTTAAATGTCTGAAAATGTGAGAGGTCCTATCAGATTATTTCTGATACATCAAAACAACTGTTACTGAGGGTATGAGGGAGGTGCGGTTGTGAAACACTTTAAAATTTACCAAAACTGGTTACAAATCTTTTACGTTAATTACCGGGTTGATACAATCGCATAATGGTATGTCTTAAAGGTCAAATCAAATGAAACGTTAAAAACCTCAAAACATGGTAAACCAGCTGCCAAATATGCGTGGGATACACCCATGTGGCAGCCACGTAGATACGCGAAAATCAACTGGAAACAAGAATTTAAATCGCTCACGCGGCACGACAAATTATTTCCATGCATATCTTTGGGAGTGTTTTCATCATCAATTTCAAGACTTTGAAGCCAGTTTCTTTCCAGTTGAGTATTCTTTTGCACAATTGCTCTTCGTTTCCGATGTCTTTAAGGTGAACTTTGATTGAGAATGGAGCGTTCGGTGTACGGTCCTACAAAACATTTTCATATCGATCGTTGGGTTTGTTGTCATCGTCGATTTTAAGACTTTAAAGCCCTTTCCTCTCCAATTGAGCATTCTTGCGCACGTTTCCTGTTCGTTTATACCTGGTCTATACAGATGTATTTTTATCAAGGATCAAGTGAAAAGAAGGGACAACAAGCTAGATCATTTAAGCTACGACGACAGACGTCATTTCGAATTATGTTGATAACTTCACATAATAAGACAAAAATTTTCGGCCCTTGCTCCACATTCAAGATATCTGAGCAGAAGTCAATAGCATGATATTGGGGACAGAGGCAAACCTAACGAAAGAGGCTCGAGATTCTCATCCGCAGTTTCCACGTCTCTACTTGGGACGCCTGGAAAGACGATGTTGATTTGGCGACTAAATAAAAAGAAAAAAAAAGAATGACTCGAACGTTCCTACGGAAGTTCGAGTTAAAACTAAATGGTAATAGAGGTCAAGAACTTCAAACTTCAGTCAGAGTAGCTCCACTGCATCCAATTTTAAAAATCTCCGCCAAAATTCAAGTGCTTTTTTAAACAATTAAGAGTTTCGTTATGTTCACTATTTAGATATGAACTTTAAGTACAAACCAATCTCTTGGAGCAAACCCTTTCTTTGTATTCAAAATTATATCTTATGCGACTAATCTAAGTTCAAACATGCACAAAAAAAGATTTAAGGTTGAAGATCAACTATTCTCTTCAACAATCAAGTAATATTCAACTTTTTCCCGCCTTATCTCTTGAATGTTGCACGTGGTTTAATAGTAAAACTTGAATGCTGAAATAAACATGGAATTTTGGCAAAGATCTAACCACATACATACTACCTACGTTATAACAACCTACCAGATGAACACTTAAATGGAGGAATGACTTTTGTACTTTTCTTTCTTTTATAACAGCAGATTATTTCTAAACGGAGTGCAGAATTGGACACATAAGTAGAAAAGAGTACAAAAGTTTACCCAATAAGGAGAAAGGTTGGTGGGGAATCCATCCAGGGAGTTCGGGGTGAGAAAATTGCTCGATAAACCTCATAAGGAGATGTTACGCTCTTAAATGGGTTGGGTTGCCTCACTATGTCTCGGCTACAATGAATAATTTTGCGTGACTCCGTCCAAATCAAGAGGTCTAAGCTCGCTGGTTAAAGTAATACAGTTTTAAGTCAGTATTTTCGTATTTGAAAACATCATGATTTATTTTTGCTCTTCTGATTCTTTTCAAAATTCTAATTAATCATGTAAGAAAATATTTTGGGTCTTTAAGCTCTTGTATTAAACAGAGCCGTGAAAGAGAAGGCCTATTATCGTCCTACTCAGGTAAGGCACTTAAAGATTATTTCTCCCCTGAACTTGGATCAGGAATCCAAGATCTCACCGGTAACTCTATCACTGAGAATCTATCAGGTAAAACTTGGGAGGGGGGGGGGGGGGGAGGAAGGGGAGGGTGAGAAAGGTGTCGTTATTGAAATAAACTTATAAGGGTAAATTTTTGTCAGACGAAATAGCAAAGCAGAAAAAAGGTATAATTATCATCAAAATAGTAATAATAATAAACCTCTTGAGAACTCTACATAGTTACATATTCCAGACCAATCACTGAACAAAGAAATTTTTACTAAAGTTAGCGCAATTCCAGATCACCTTGATCATTCTATACATTTCACTAGAAATGACTGACGTTGCTCATAATTTTTGTTTCAAACTGTCGATCGCAAAATGAATATTGATACACGAAAATAAACTAAACGTATTTTCTCTTTCAGTTTATTAAACCCATTACTTTGTGTTAGACCCATTCAAATATTAAAGCACATTACATTGCTTTTTACTCTGTGTCACTCAACTATGTAGAAAAGCTGATAAACTATAGCTCATGTAGTGTATTCCTTGTTTGTGTATGTTTTTAGCTTAAAAGTCCATGGGCCTGATCTTCATTTCAGCTCTCTTAGCGGAGTAACTTTGACCCTTCCATTTATCCCAGTTGATACCACGATGGGCAGACCCGACGTGCGAACCGTGGTAATAGTAGCCGTTTAAGTTGGCACGAACACAGTTGTTGTACCACCAAGCACTTTTATAGTATGCGGCACAGTTGCCCGAGTATTTATCATTGTCGCGATCTTTAGTGGAGAATGCCATGTTCCTATGAAAGCTCAAAGAATCCCCAGCAGTTCCTGAGACAAAAACACCGACGGTTAGCAAAAGTAGGCACAACACTAAACTTGCGGCTCCCCTCAAAGACGGGAGTTTAGGAACCATCAGAAAGTCCAGAAATTGTGTTACTTTGGAGAGAAATTGAATGTCAGAGTTTTTCAGACTCTGATGATAGAAGAGAATGTAATAAGTTCTGAAAAAAAACAAACAAACAAACAAACAAAAACAAACAAGCAAAAACGAAGAATCTACTGTTTTGGGGGATCTGGAGTAAATAACAGTTATAGTAACCTTTTCTGTGACGCTGGGCTTATTGGTCTGTATAAAAATGAAAGAATCGCTCTAATTCGGCTGTATCTTTAGGAACCATATTTAGGGTAAAATAGACCAATCCACAGATTGTAGGCACTCACCTGTATACTTCCCAAGGCCAAGTCTGTATTTATTTCTTTCGCTGGAAACAGAGAACATATCGTATTCAGCGTAAGCTATCTTTCCTTGTGTGTCTTCGAGTTCCACTCGCAGTCTACTCTTTGTTTTGGTCAGGCGGTGTACCTAGTCCAATCCGAGCCAAAACTCACCATTTAAGTTTCCGAATCCACGTCTGAAGTCCGCCCAGCCGCGATTGTTGAAATCAACGGAGCCATCGAGTCTCTTCTGGAATACTGTCCACCCCCCACCTACAGATTTTTGGTCGCAAAACACATCAAACGCACCCAAACCATCGGGATCGATTGTGTAAACTCCTGTAATTCTTTCGCCGGATTTGTACAGCTCAGCACAGTTTTTCATAGCTGTCGAGAGACATCAACAACTATAGTTAGCATGATAATATTGCAGCATGGATGAGTTGTAAGACGTATATACAAAATTGACAAAAACTCACCTGGCGGAGTTGTTTTGTTTTCCGTCAAAGCATCGATTTTCTTCTCTAAATCTGCGAGTTGATTCTCTATTTTGAGAAGATGTACCTTGATGTCCTTATTTGCTGGCCCAGAGTAGTAATTGTTGAAGTGAACGTTGAGGCACTTGCTTGATGTCGAAGTATCGGGAGTTTTGTTGGATGTGACTTGTTTTGATGTGCTGTTTACCCCGCTCAGTGTTTGAAAGATCGAGCTGCAACAGAGCAGACAAAATATGATATTGAAAAAATTCATCCTCGACCGAGAAAACTTACGTCCCAGCTGTTGTAGAAATATAATTTGCTCAACTTATAGGAAATCGTTATAAATACGTTCTTTTGACCACGTCAGTATACAAGCAGGTAGATTTTTCGTGTTTGAGTGACTGTCATAGACAAGCACTGCTTTTGTTTCGTCTTTCATACCAACTTCCACTTTTGCTTCAGGCTGAGTTGGTTATCTATGGTTGAGTGAGTTTATTTAAAAATGTTAGTTTTGTGTTTTGCACACTTCAAAATATTTTTCTCCCTAAAATGTTTTGTTATTACAATTTTCCCCAGCCTTCGAGAATCAATCCAGTTTTAATCCACGGCAGCTTCATGACGCAATGTTCGCAAAAAATTGAAATCTTGCACATGCGCTTAATGAGATGCAACTACACGTCTGTTTGTCTAAAGAACCTCAAACGGGTAAATCGTCGCAGTTTTTTTTAACTTCTAACGGATTCTAAAAAACTTGCAAGTTCGAAGTAAGATAATTTGTGCAAATAAAAATGATAAACATGATAGGAAGGTCTAGAATGTATAGTGAGGTGTAACATTTACAAAGAGGACTAAGAGTGTTTGTAAAGCGTCTTATCCTAGCATCAACAGCGGCTCGCACCCAAGCGAGAGGTTTTAAGCCTCCTTTCCATTCCCTCTCGACTTGGGCATTGAACACGCCAAGGCAAACTTCCGGTCTAGGTTGAACACAGGATTCCATGGACACAGAGAGCTGAATTGCCTGTCAAAGATAAGCTAGACACTATTGAAGCGTTAACTCGAGTTTCTTTGGGGATTTTCGGTGAAATAAGTTAGCAATTTTACGTGAGAGGTCTTAATAACTAGTGAGCGTAGCCGGGGAGCACCTGGGCAAATTGCGAAGCCGCAACAGGAATAAAAAACAAACAAAGAAAAAAACGTGTGCTACGCCGCAGGTTACACAAACGCAACACCACGAGCAGTTCAAACCAACATTTACGACCCCTTGTACAATAGTACAAGCCGAAGCAGTGATTATTTCTGACATATCAAAACAACTGTTACTGAGGGTATGATAAAGGTGCGGTCATGAAACAATTTAAAATTTACCAAAACTGGTTACAAATCGTTTACAATTATTACCGGATTTGAGTCGTATAATGGTATGTTTTAAAGGTCAAATCAATTGAAATGTTTAAAACCTCCCTGAAAACATGTTAAACCAGCTGGCAAATATGTGGCAGCTACGTAGATACGCGAAAATCAACTTCAGAAACAAGAATTTAAATCACTCACGCGGTGCGACAAAATATTTCTATAAATATGTTTTGGACTATTGTCATCATCAATTTCAAGACTTTGAAACCCGTTTCTTTCCAGTTGCTCTTCGTTTGCAAAGACTAAAAGGTGTCCTTTGATTGAGAATGGAGCAAAAAGAAGGAAAAACCACCTGGGTGATTTCAGTTTACGGTCCTACAAAAAAAATTCCATATTGATCGTTGGGGTTGTTGTCATCGTCAATTTTAAGACTTTAAAGCCCTTTTCTCTCCAACTGAGCATTCTTGCGCACGTCTCCTCTTTGTTTGTAACTGGTCTATACAGATGTATTTTAATCAAGGATCAAGTGAAAAGAGGGAAAAACCAGCTAGATCATTTAAGCTATTGGGACAGAAGTCATTTCGAATTATGTTGATAACTCCATGTAATCAGGCTAAACATTTCGGTCCTTACACTGCCCCCAAGATATCTGAGCAGAATTCAATAGCACGATATTGGGGACAGAGCCAAACCTATTGAAAGAGGCTCGAAATTCTCATTCCCAGTTTTCCGCGCCTCCACTTCGGACGTCTGGAGAGACGATGTTGATTTGGCGACATAATAAGAAGGAAGTAATAAACGAACGGCTTGCTTTTTAGTCTTGAGTGTTCCTACGGACGTTTGGGTTAAGCATAAATGGCAATAGAGGTCAAGAACTTCAAACTTCAGTCAGATTAGCTCCATTGCTATGCCTTTTTTAGAACAAATCAACAGGGCTAAGCTCGCAGGTCAAGGTCCCAATACAGTCCCAAGCCAGAGGTTTTGTATGTATTGTATTTTCGTTGAAAACACTATCATTTATTTTTGCTCTTCTGATTCTTTTATAAATTCTAATAAATTATGTAAGATCTTTTTGGTCTTTAAGCTCTTGCTTTTAACAGAGCCGTGAAAGAAAAGGCCTATTATCGTCCTACTCAGGTAAGGTAATTAAAGATGATTTTCCCCCTGAGCTTGGATCAGAGATCCAAGATATCACCGGCAACGCCATTACTGAAGATCTATCAGGTAAAACTGAAAACTTTTCGGGAAGGGGACGATGGAAAAGGAATCACCATTTCCTTGTTTATGTCAGATAAGTTACAGGGTAAATATCTTGTCTGATGTAATAGCAAAACAGAAGGACGATATAAATATTAAAAAGAATAAGACAAGAAAAACTGCTGAGGACTCTTTTAAGACACATGTTCCAGAACAATCACAGAACATAGAAATTCCTGCCGCATTCGATGTAATCCCAGATAAACATGAGCACTACTGAAAATTAATTTGGATATCGCTAAAGTTGCAAAGAAATTTTGTCAGTTTCAAGCTTTCGATCGTAAAAAAATATACTTACTTTCGTGTATCATTATTTTTTTATATAAATTTGTGCCAAAATCGATTAAATCCCAGATAAATATGATCACTACTGACATTTAATTGGATATCGCTAAAGCTGCAAATAAATTTTGTCAGTTTCAAGCTTTCGATCGTAAAACAAATAGTGATACACGAAAATGAACTGAACGTCTTTCTCTCCCTTCTTTTCTTTTATTAAACCCATAACTTTGTGTCAGACCCATTTAAATATTAAAGCATATTTACATTGCTTTTTTTATTCCGTGTTTCTCGACTATGCAGAGAAGCCGATAAACTATAGCTGATGTAGTGTATTCCTTGTATGTGTATGTTTCTATCTTAAAAGTCCACGGGCCTGATCTTCATTTCAGCTCTCTTAGCTGAGTAATAAGCACCCTTCCATTTACCCCAGTTGATACCACGATAGCCAGACTTGACTTGCGAACCGTGGTAATAGTAGCCGTTTAAGTTGGCACGGAGACAGTTGTTGTACCACCAAGCACTTTTATAGGATGCGGCGCAGTTGAACGAGTTCGCATTGTCATTGTCGCGATCTTTAGTGGAGAATGCCATGTTTCGATGATAGCTCAAAGAATCACCAGCAGTTCCAGCTGAGACGGAATCACATATTATTAGCAAAGGAAGGCTATAGAAATTGCAATGGATAGAAATTGATCCTTTCAGCATTTTTCATTCTCTGATGATAGGATGAGACGGAACCACATGTAATTAGCAAAGGGAGGCTATAGGATCAAAACTTGCAGGAAGAAGTTTGGGAACGATCAGAAAGAAAAAAATTGTAGTGAATAGAAATTGATTCTTTCACGGCGTTTTCCAGTCTCTGATGGGTAAAATGAATTGAGGTAGACCCATGCAGAATCGCTCGAATTCGGTTGCGTCTTTTAGAACAACTCTGTCTAAAATAGACCAATCCACAGATTATGAGCACTCACCGGTATATATCCCAAGGCCAAGTCTGTATTTGTTTCTTTCGCTGGAAACAGAGAACATGTCATATTCAGCGTAAGCTGTATTTCCTTGTGTGTCTTCAAGCTCCACTCGCAGTCTACTCTTTGTTTTCGTCAGGCGGTATATCTTGTCCAGTCGAATCCAAAACTCACCATTTAAGTTTCCGAATCCACGTTTGTAATCCGCCCAGCCGCGATTGACGAAATTTTGATTTTTGGTCGCAAAACACCTCAAACGCGCCTAAGCCATCGGGGTCGATTGTGTAAACTCCTGTGATTCTTTGGCCGGATTTGAACAGCTCAGCACAGTTTTTCATGGCTGAGGAGAGACATCGAACAATCATAGTTAGCATGATATATTTCAGTATGGATGAGTCGTAAGACGTACATACAAAATTGACAGAAACTCACCTGGCAGAGTTGTTTTGTTCTCCGTTAAAGCATCGATTTTCTTCTCTAAATTTACGAGTTGATTCTCTATTTTGAGAAGATGTACCTTGATGTCCTTATTTGCTGGTCCAGAATAGTAATTGTTGAAGTGAACGTTGTGACACTTGCTTGATGTCGAAGTATCGGGAGTTTTGTTGGATGTGACTTGTTTTGATGTGCTGTTTACCCCGCTCAGAGTTTGAAACATCGAGTTGCAACAGAGCAGGCAAAATATGATGTTGAAAAAAATTCATCCTCGACCGAGAAAACTCACTTCCCGGCTATTCAGTGTCGCAATGTAATTTTCTCAACGTATAGAAAATCTTATTAATACGCTGTTCTGACCACGTCAGTATACAAGCAGGTAGATTTTTCGTGTTTGGGTGACTGTCATAGACAAGCACTGTTTTTGTTTCGTCTGTCATACCAACTTTCATTTTATTTGAAAATGTTAGTTTTGTATTTTGCTCACTTCAAAATGTTCGCTCCCTAAATTCCCTATTTCCTCATGCGCTTAATGAGATGCAACTACACGTCTGTTTGTTTGAAAAACCACAAACGCCGGGATAAATCGTCATAGTTTCTTTATGGATCCTATAAACAATAAACATAATAGGATGGTCTGGAATGTATGGTGAAGTGTAGCATTAACAAACAGGGCAAAAAATATTTAAAAAGTGCTGTGTCTTACGCTAGCAAACCTCCTTCCCATTCCCTCTCGACTTGTGCATTCGTCACGCCAAGGCAACTTTTGGTTTTGGTTGAACACAAGATTCATCGATGCAGAGAGCTGGCTTGCCTGTCAGGATGAGTTAGACGCTATTGAAGCGATAACCCGAGTTTCCTTAGAGATGTCAAAAGGTCTGGAGAGCAGCAGATATGTCACGAATTTAAGAAAAGAAACGACATCTTTTAAAAAACCATGCTTTCCAGCTCAGTAGACACTACGTGGGTAAATGAACGATTGATTAAATAGACAACTGATGTTTCGACAGTTCTTCTGCCAGCAGACAAAGTAAAAAGTTGAATTTAAAGTATATGAACAAAAGAAACAATAGAAACAGAACAATGTATGCAATTATAAGGAAAGTTTTAAATTAACATGATAGAAATGTTGATAAAGCGTAGGTTGCCACCATTGAATGTAAATAACTTCTTTAATTTTAAGTTGGAGAGTTGTGGAAGCGTGATCTAAGATGCCAAAAACTCATCAGGACATAGGTTGCGAAATTGTCGGGAATAATTGATTTATTTTGTTTTATTCCCCCTAGCCTCGGAGCCATGTTAGGAGGTCTGATAGCGTAACCGCTGTAGCGCTTGACTAAGCATAAAATCACCTGAAGAGCGTTAACTTTCAGACCCTAAGGTGGAAAAGCCTCATGTGACTGTAAGACCACCACTATCTCAGTGCTGGCCTTGACATCGAGACAGCAACGCAAATGATTCGCCATTGATTCATCAGGTGGAATGGCCGGAGTCAGCATGACAGTGAGTGGTCCACAACCTACTGCAAAATCAACGCCAGTGAAGTGGGAAGGAGTATTATTTTTATAATAACATTACATACACCAACGAAAGAGTGTTACTGTGGAGAGCGTATGGAGTTGGCTCCGGTAAATTCTTACCTTAAGGAAGTTTCTGTCAACAATGCAGTAGCCTTCTTCCCCAGTTAAACAAGAATACAGTTAATGCGATTTCCCACCATTCTTTTCAAACCATTAAAGCTGGACGAAGCGCAAAATAAACAATAGACTTGACAAAGACTTCAGCAAACCGTCGGCAAACCTAACGGATTACTAACGTACCTTAGTGATCCGCTATAGCTAAACAAGGAAGTGACGGTTTCTTTTTAAACCATCTACAACATGTAGTCGTTTACTTCTTAAAAATTTCTGAACTTGGAAGGAAAGATTAAGTAGATAAGCACGACATGGGTTTGTTCACTTTCTTTTTCCTGGTAAAATAAAGATGTTAGTCTTTTAGAAGTGGGCGTGAAAATTCTGGTCAGATCAGACAACAGGCTTATGTTAACTTGTTATTACACATCATCTACGCTCTATAATATGTTGCCCTATAATTCATTGATGGCTTTAGACCCGATTATATATATTTGGTGGGGATTGATCACTGCTCAGAGTGCTAAATATCAAACTAGCAGGGCGCATTCTTTAAAAAGCTCTTGTTTAAAATATACAATATCAGCACAATTAACTCTCAGGAGACATGTATTTTTATATTAAGTCTTTGATGTGAAAGTGGTCAGGAATTGCTGAAATTGTTGTCAAAACATGTTTTGATATTGTTTTTTAAGGTTTGGTACTTTTCATCAGTCTAGGTTTCTTCAATTTGTGACGCGACGTTTCTTGATTCGCCTGAAATTTTTAGCTTCAAAAGCGGCGTTTTGGCGAAATTCAGTTATTATCGATTTACTACGCGGTACGCATTGGTTTCGGTTTCTCTCTAAGACTTACCTAACTATGAAATATGGGCGAAATTGAATTTTCATCTGTTGCTACCAAATGTTTGACCACTGGCAACATTCGCCCGTAAGACTTTAAAGCCCTTTTCTCTCCGATCAACAATCAATCTTTAACAATCAACTATTTTCTTCAACAATCAAGTCTTTGAATATTCAAGTTTTGCCGGGCATATCACATGCATGTTGCATATGGTTTAAAAGGAAAACTTGAATGTTGAAAATAAACCTTGAATTTTGATTATCCGACCGACTTCTAGCTAGTTTTCTTGGGGATCTGTTGTCAAAAAGTCTGGATAGCAGCAGATATGTCACGAATTTAAGAAAAGAAACGACATTTTAAAAAAAAAACACGCTTTCCAGCTCACTACACGCTACGTGGGTAAATAAACGATTGATGTTTCGACAGTTCTTCTGTTATCTTCAGTTCTGATTTATACAAAGTACAAAGTTGAATTTAAAGTGTATAACAAAATGCTCATTGGCTCCTGTCATTGGACAAAACAAACAATAGAAACAGAATAATGTGTGCCATTACAAGGAAAGTTAAAAATAAAACATGATAAAGTTGATGATTACTTGTAGGTTGCTCCCATTGAATGTGAATAACTTCTTTGATTTTAAGTTGGAGAGTTGTGGGAGCGTGATCTAAGATGCCAAATACTCATCAGAACAAAGACTGCTACATTGTCGAGAATTTTGTAAATGTCTGAAAATGTGAGAGGTCCTATCAGATTATTTCTGATACATCAAAACAGCTGTTACTGAGGGTATGAGGAAGGTGCGGTTGTGAAACAATTTAAAATTTACCAAAACTGGTTACAAATCTTTTACGTTAATTACCGGGTTGATACAATCGCATAATGGTATGTCTTAAAGGTCAAATCAAATGAAACGTTAAAAACCTCAAAACATGGTAAACCAGCTGCCAAATATGCGTGACACACACCCATGTGGCAGCCACGTAGATTCGCGAAAATTAACTCGAAAAAGAATTTAAATCACTCACGCGGCGCGACAAAATATTTCCATACATATCTTTGGGACTGTTGTCATCACCAATTTCAAGACTTTGAAGCCAGTTTCTTTCCAGTTGAGTATTCTTTTGCACAATTGCTCTTCGTTTCCGAGGTCTTTAAGGTGAACTTTGATCGAGATTGGAGCGTTTGGTGTACGGTCCTACAAAATATTTTCATATGGTTCGTTGGGGTTGTTGTCATCGTCGATTTTAAGATTTTAAAGCCTTTTCCTCTCCAATTGAGCATTCTTGCGCACGTTTCCTGTTCGTTTGTACCTGGTTTATACAGATGTATTTTTATCAAGGATCAAGTGAAAAGAAGGGACAACAAGCTAGATCATTTAAGCTACGACAACAGACGTCATTTTGAATTATGTTGATAACTCCACATAATAAGACAAAAATTTTCGGCCCTTGCTCCACATTCAAGATATCTGAGCAGAAGTCAATGGCATGATATTGGGGACAGAGGCAAACCTAACAAAAGAGGCTCGAGATTCTCATCCGCAGTTTTCCACGTCTCTACTTGGGACGCCTGGAAAGACGATGTTGATTTGGCGACTAAATAAAAAGAAAAAAAAGAATGACTCGAATGTTCCTACGGAAGTTCGAGTTAAAACTAAATGGTAATAGAGGTCAAGAACTTCAAACTTCAGTCAGAGTAGCTCCACTGCATCCAATTTTAAAAATCTCCGCCAAAATTCAAGTGCTTTTTTAAACAATTAAGAGTTTCGTTATGTTCACTATTTAGTACAAACCAATCTCTTGGAGCAAACCCTTTCTTTGTATTCAAAATTATATCTTATGTGACTAATCTAAGTTCAATGCACAAAAAAAAAAAAGATTTAAGGTTGAAGATCAACTATTCTCTTCAACAATCAAGTATTTGAATATTCAAGTTTTTGCGGGCTTATCTCTTGAATGTTGCACGTGGTTTAATAGTAAAACTTGAATGCTGAAATAAACATGGAATTTTGGCAAAGATCTAACCACATACATACTACCTACGTTATAACAACTTACCAGATGAACACTTAAATGGAGGAATGACTTTTGTACTTTTCTTTCTTTTATAACAGCAGATTATTTCTAAACGGAGTGCAGAATTGGACACATAAGTAGAAAAGAGTACAAAAGTTTACCCAATAAGGAGAAAGGTTGGTGGGGAATCCATCCAGGGGAGTTCGGGGTGAGAAAATTGCTCGATAAACCTCATAAGGAGATGTTACGCTCTTAAATGGGTTGGGTTGCTTCACTATGTCTCGGCTACAATGAATAATTTTGCGTGACTCCGTCCAAATCAAGAGGTCTAAGCTCGCTGGTTAAAGTAATACAGTTTTAAGTCAGTATTTTCGTATTTGAAAACATCATGATTTATTTTTGCTCTTCTGATTCTTTTCAAAATTCTAATTAATCATGTAAGAAAATATTTTGGGTCTTTAAGCTCTTGTATTAAACAGAGCCGTGAAAGAGAAGGCCTATTATCGTCCTACTCAGGTAAGGCACTTAAAGATTATTTCTCCCCTGAACTTGGATCAGGAATCCAAGATCTCACCGGTAACTCTATCACTGAGAATCTATCAGGTAAAACTTGGGAGGGGGGGGGGGAGGAAGGGGAGGGTGAGAAAGGTGTCGTTATTGAAATAAACTTATAAGGGTAAATTTTGTCAGACGAAATAGCAAAGCAGAAAAAAGGTATAATTATCATCAAAATAGTAATAATAATAAACCTCTTGAGAACTCTACATAGTTACATATTCCAGACCAATCACTGAACAAAGAAATTTTTACTAAAGTTAGCGCAATTCCAGATCACCTTGATCATTCTATACATTTCACTAGAAATGACTGACGTTGCTCATAATTTTTGTTTCAAACTGTCGATCGCAAAATGAATATTGATACACGAAAATAAACTAAACGTATTTTCTCTTTCAGTTTATTAAACCCATTACTTTGTGTTAGACCCATTCAAATATTAAAGCACATTACATTGCTTTTTACTCTGTGTCACTCAACTATGTAGAAAAGCTGATAAACTATAGCTCATGTAGTGTATTCCTTGTTTGTGTATGTTTTTAGCTTAAAAGTCCATGGGCCTGATCTTCATTTCAGCTCTCTTAGCGGAGTAACTTTGACCCTTCCATTTATCCCAGTTGATACCACGATGGGCAGACCCGACGTGCGAACCGTGGTAATAGTAGCCGTTTAAGTTGGCACGAACACAGTTGTTGTACCACCAAGCACTTTTATAGTATGCGGCACAGTTGCCCGAGTATTTATCATTGTCGCGATCTTTAGTGGAGAATGCCATGTTCCTATGAAAGCTCAAAGAATCCCCAGCAGTTCCTGAGACAAAAACACCGACGGTTAGCAAAAGTAGGCACAACACTAAACTTGCGGCTCCCCTCAAAGACGGGAGTTTAGGAACCATCAGAAAGTCCAGAAATTGTGTTACTTTGAGAGAAATTGAATGTCAGAGTTTTTCAGACTCTGATGATAGAAGAGAATGCAATAAGTTCTGAAAAAAAAAAAAAACAAACAAACAAACAAAACAAACAAGCAAAAACGAAGAATCTACTGTTTTGGGGGATCTGGAGTAAATAACAGTTATAGTAACCTTTTCTGTGACGCTGGGCTTATTGGTCTGTATAAAAATGAAAGAATCGCTCTAATTCGGCTGTATCTTTAGGAACCATATTTAGGGTAAAATAGACCAATCCACAGATTGTAGGCACTCACCTGTATACTTCCCAAGGCCAAGTCTGTATTTATTTCTTTCGCTGGAAACAGAGAACATATCGTATTCAGCGTAAGCTATCTTTCCTTGTGTGTCTTCGAGTTCCACTCGCAGTCTACTCTTTGTTTTGGTCAGGCGGTGTACCTAGTCCAATCCGAGCCAAAACTCACCATTTAAGTTTCCGAATCCACGTCTGAAGTCCGCCCAGCCGCGATTGTTGAAATCAACGGAGCCATCGAGTCTCTTGTGGAATACTGTCCACCCCCCACCTACAGATTTTTGATCGCAAAACACATCAAACGCACCCAAACCATCGGGATCGATTGTGTAAACTCCTGTAATTCTTTCGCCGGATTTGTACAGCTCAGCACAGTTTTTCATAGCTGTCGAGAGACATCAACAACTATAGTTAGCATGATAATATTGCAGCATGGATGAGTTGTAAGACGTATATACAAAATTGACAAAAACTCACCTGGCGGAGTTGTTTTGTTTTCCGTCAAAGCATCGATTTTCTTCTCTAAATCTGCGAGTTGATTCTCTATTTTGAGAAGATGTACCTTGATGTCCTTATTTGCTGGCCCAGAGTAGTAATTGTTGAAGTGAACGTTGAGGCACTTGCTTGATGTCGAAGTATCGGGAGTTTTGTTGGATGTGACTTGTTTTGATGTGCTGTTTACCCCGCTCAGTGTTTGAAAGATCGAGCTGCAACAGAGCAGACAAAATATGATATTGAAAAAATTCATCCTCGACCGAGAAAACTTACGTCCCAGCTGTTGTAGAAATATAATTTGCTCAACTTATAGGAAATCGTTATAAATACGTTCTTTTGACCACGTCAGTATACAAGCAGGTAGATTTTTCGTGTTTGAGTGACTGTCATAGACAAGCACTGCTTTTGTTTCGTCTTTCATACCAACTTCCACTTTTGCTTCAGGCTAAGTTGGTTATCTATGGTTGAGTGAGTTTATTTAAAAATGTTAGTTTTGTGTTTTGCACACTTCAAAATATTTTTCTCCCTAAAATGTTTTGTTATTACAATTTTCCCCAGCCTTCGAGAATCAATCCAGTTTTAATCCACGGCAGCTTCATGACGCAATGTTCGCAAAAAATTGAAATCTTACACATGCGCTTAATGAGATGCAACTACACGTCTGTTTGTCTAAAGAACCTCAAACGGGTAAATCGTCGCAGTTTTTTTTAACTTCTAACGGATTCTAAAAAACTTGCAAGTTCGAAGTAAGATAATTTGTGCAAATAAAAATGATAAACATGATAGGAAGGTCTAGAATGTATAGTGAGGTGTAACATTTACAAAGAGGACTAAGAGTGTTTGTAAAGCGTCTTATCCTAGCATCAACAGCGGCTCGCACCCAAGCGAGAGGTTTCAAGCCTCCTTTCCATTCCCTCTCGACTTGGGCATTGAACACGCCAAGGCAAACTTCCGGTCTAGGTTGAACACAGGATTCCATGGACACAGAGAGCTGAATTGCCTGTCAAAGATAAGCTAGACACTATTGAAGCGTTAACTCGAGTTTCTTTGGGGATTTTCGGTGAAATAAGTTAGCAATTTTACGTGAGAGGTCTTAATAACTAGTGAGCGTAGCCGGGGAGCACCTGGGCAAATTGCGAAGCCGCAACAGGAATAAAAAACAAACAAAGAAAAAAACGTGTGCTACGCCGCAGGTTACACAAACGCAACACCACGAACAGTTCAAACCAACATTTACGACCCCTTGTACAATAGTACAAGCCGAAGCAGTGATTATTTCTGACATATCAAAACAACTGTTACTGAGGGTATGATAAAGGTGCGGTCATGAAACAATTTAAAATTTACCAAAACTGGTTACAAATCGTTTACAATTATTACCGGATTTGAGTCGTATAATGGTATGTTTTAAAGGTCAAATCAATTGAAATGTTAAAAACCTCCCTGAAAAACATGTTAAACCAGCTGGCAAATATGTGGCAGCTACGTAGATACGCGAAAATCAACTTCAGAAACAAGAATTTAAATCACTCACGCGGTGCGACAAAATATTTCTATAAATATGTTTTGGACTATTGTCATCATCAATTTCAAGACTTTGAAACCCGTTTCTTTCCAGTTGCTCTTCGTTTGCAAAGACTAAAAGGTGTCCTTTGATTGAGAATGGAGCAAAAAGAAGGAAAAACCACCTGGGTGATTTCAGTTTACGGTCCTACAAAAAAAATTCCATATTGATCGTTGGGGTTGTTGTCATCGTCAATTTTAAGACTTTAAAGCCCTTTTTCTCCAACTGAGCATTCTTGCGCACGTCTCCTCTTTGTTTGTAACTGGTCTATACAGATGTATTTTAATCAAGGATCAAGTGAAAAGAGGGAAAAACCAGCTAGATCATTTAAGCTATTGGGACAGAAGTCATTTCGAATTATGTTGATAACTCCATGTAATCAGGCTAAACATTTCGGTCCTTACACTGCCCCCAAGATATCTGAGCAGAATTCAATAGCACGATATTGGGGACAGAGCCAAACCTATTGAAAGAGGCTCGAAATTCTCATTCCCAGTTTTCCGCGCCTCCACTTCGGACGTCTGGAGAGACGATGTTGATTTGGCGACATAATAAGAAGGAAGTAATAAACGAACGGCTTGCTTTTAGTCTTGAGTGTTCCTACGGACGTTTGGGTTAAGCATAAATGGCAATAGAGGTCAAGAACTTCAAACTTCAGTCAGATTAGCTCCATTGCTATGCCTTTTTTAGAACAAATCAACAGGGCTAAGCTCGCAGGTCAAGGTCCCAATACAGTCCCAAGCCAGAGGTTTTGTATGTATTGTATTTTCGTTGAAAACACTATCATTTATTTTTGCTCTTCTGATTCTTTTATAAATTCTAATAAATTATGTAAGATCTTTTTGGTCTTTAAGCTCTTGCTTTTAACAGAGCCGTGAAAGAAAAGGCCTATTATCGTCCTACTCAGGTAAGGTAATTAAAGATGATTTTCCCCCTGAGCTTGGATCAGAGATCCAAGATATCACCGGCAACTCCATGACTGAAGATCTATCAGGTAAAACTGAAAACTTTTCGGGAAGGGGACGATGGAAAAGGAATCACCATTTCCCTTGTTTATGTCAGATAAGTTACAGGGGTAAATATCTTGTCTGATGTAATAGCAAAACAGAAGGACGATATAAATATTAAAAAGAATAAGACAAGAAAAACTGCTGAGGACTCTTTTAAGACACATGTTCCAGAACAATCACAGAACATAGAAATTCCTGCCGCATTCGATGTAATCCCAGATAAACATGAGCACTACTGAAAATTAATTTGGATATCGCTAAAGTTGCAAAGAAATTTTGTCAGTTTCAAGCTTTCGATCGTAAAAAAATATACTTACTTTCGTGTATCATTATATTTTTTTTATATAAATTTGTGCCAAAATCGATTAAATCCCAGATAAATATGATCACTACTGACATTTAATTGGATATCGCTAAAGCTGCAAATAAATTTTGTCAGTTTCAAGCTTTCGATCGTAAAACAAATAGTGATACACGAAAATGAACTGAACGTCTTTCTCTCCCTTCTTTTCTTTTATTAAACCCATAACTTTGTGTCAGACCCATTTAAATATTAAAGCATATTTACATTGCTTTTTATTCCGTGTTTCTCGACTATGCAGAGAAGCCGATAAACTATAGCTGATGTAGTGTATTCCTTGTATGTGTATGTTTCTATCTTAAAAGTCCACGGGCCTGATCTTCATTTCAGCTCTCTTAGCTGAGTAATAAGCACCCTTCCATTTACCCCAGTTGATACCACGATAGCCAGACTTGACTTGCGAACCGTGGTAATAGTAGCCGTTTAAGTTGGCACGGAGACAGTTGTTGTACCACCAAGCACTTTTATAGGATGCGGCGCAGTTGAACGAGTTCGCATTGTCATTGTCGCGATCTTTAGTGGAGAATGCCATGTTTCGATGATAGCTCAAAGAATCACCAGCAGTTCCAGCTGAGACGGAATCACATATTATTAGCAAAGGAAGGCTATAGAAATTGCAATGGATAGAAATTGATCCTTTCAGCATTTTTCATTCTCTGATGATAGGATGAGACGGAACCACATGTAATTAGCAAAGGGAGGCTATAGGATCAAAACTTGCAGGAAGAAGTTTGGGAACGATCAGAAAGAAAAAAATTGTAGTGAATAGAAATTGATTCTTTCACGGCGTTTTCCAGTCTCTGATGGGTAAAATGAATTGAGGTAGACCCATGCAGAATCGCTCGAATTCGGTTGCGTCTTTTAGAACAACTCTGTCTAAAATAGACCAATCCACAGATTATGAGCACTCACCGGTATATATCCCAAGGCCAAGTCTGTATTTGTTTCTTTCGCTGGAAACAGAGAACATGTCATATTCAGCGTAAGCTGTATTTCCTTGTGTGTCTTCAAGCTCCACTCGCAGTCTAATCTTTGTTTTCGTCAGGCGGTGTATCTTGTCCAGTCGAATCCAAAACTCACCATTTAAGTTTCCGAATCCACGTTTGTAATCCGCCCAGCCGCGATTGACGAAATTTTGATTTTTGGTCGCAAAACACCTCAAACGCGCCTAAGCCATCGGGGTCGATTGTGTAAACTCCTGTGATTCTTTGGCCGGATTTGAACAGCTCAGCACAGTTTTTCATGGCTGAGGAGAGACATCGAACAATCATAGTTAGCATGATATATTTCAGTATGGATGAGTCGTAAGACGTACATACAAAATTGACAGAAACTCACCTGGCAGAGTTGTTTTGTTCTCCGTTAAAGCATCGATTTTCTTCTCTAAATTTACGAGTTGATTCTCTATTTTGAGAAGATGTACCTTGATGTCCTTATTTGCTGGTCCAGAATAGTAATTGTTGAAGTGAACGTTGTGACACTTGCTTGATGTCGAAGTATCGGGAGTTTTGTTGGATGTGACTTGTTTTGATGTGCTGTTTACCCCGCTCAGAGTTTGAAACATCGAGTTGCAACAGAGCAGGCAAAATATGATGTTGAAAAAAATTCATCCTCGACCGAGAAAACTCACTTCCCGGCTATTCAGTGTCGCAATGTAATTTTCTCAACGTATAGAAAATCTTATTAATACGCTGTTCTGACCACGTCAGTATACAAGCAGGTAGATTTTTTTCGTGTTTGGGTGACTGTCATAGACAAGCACTGTTTTTGTTTCGTCTGTCATACCAACTTTCATTTTATTTGAAAATGTTAGTTTTGTATTTTGCTCACTTCAAAATGTTCGCTCCCTAAATTCCCTATTTCCTCATGCGCTTAATGAGATGCAACTACACGTCTGTTTGTTTGAAAAACCACAAACGCCGGGATAAATCGTCATAGTTTCTTTATGGATCCTATAAACAATAAACATAATAGGATGGTCTGGAATGTATGGTGAAGTGTAGCATTAACAAACAGGGCAAAAAATATTTAAAAAGTGCTGTGTCTTACGCTAGCAAACCTCCTTCCCATTCCCTCTCGACTTGTGCATTCGTCACGCCAAGGCAACTTTTGGTTTTGGTTGAACA